CAGTCAGGACCCCGAGGGTGTGGAATGGGCTTCCACGAGAAGTCGTTGAGGCCCCATCGGTGCGGGTGTTCAAGGATAGGCTGGACATGCACATGGTGGGCATGTCGTGAGTGGAGCTGGCTGGTGCCGGAGGCCAGACTAGATGGCCCAGGAGGCCCCTTCTGACTCGCTATGTTCCTATGTTTCTGTGTCCAAGTGACATTAATTTTTTGGCTTGGCTACCAAGGCTAGCCAAAAATTACGGACCTGTGCTGCTACGTGTTGTTTGTAATATAGCTTAAAATGAATACTGGAAGTGTCCACGTTTCTAAAGGTAAGTATCTGCAAGGGATGTGTCAATCAGCATACCTTGGAAATCTTTGGTATGGAAACATAGGGCAGTAAAGTTGGAAGGAGCCAGAGGGCCTTCTGGTTGAACCCCCTTGCTTAGTGCAGGACTCCCTAGGTTAAACCATCCCTCTCTGCTGTCCAGCTGCATCTTGAATGCCTCCAGGGTGGGAGAGCCCACCACCTCCCTAGGCCATGGGTTCCATTGTCATACTGCTCTAACAGTCAGGAAATTTTTCCTGACTGATATTTAGCCAGAATCTGGCTTCCTGTAACTTGAGCCTGTTGTTCTGTGTCCTGTGCTTTGGGATGATTGAGAAGAGATCCTGTCCTTTGTGACAATCTTTCATGTAAGTGCTATCCTGTCTCCCCTTGGTCTTCTCTTCTCAAGGCTAAACCCTTTTTATCTTCTTCTGAACACTTTTCGGCTTGTCTGCATCTTTCTTAAACTGTAGTGCTCAGAATTGGACATGGGACTCCAGAGGAGGCCTAACCAGTGCTGAGTAAAGGAACTAGGAATTAATGGGATTTGGAAGCGATACTTCCATTAATGCAGCCTAAAATAGCATTTGTCCTTTTTGCAGCCACATCACATTGTTGTCTCCAAGATCCTTCTCACTTGCAGTGTTATTCAGTCAAGTATTTCCCATCTTGTATCAAAGCATTTGGTTTATTTTTCCTAGGTGCAGAACTTGACATTTGTCCCCATTGAATTTCATTTTCATGTATAGTACATGCATTCCTTTACATGTGTCCCTGACAATGTGGGGTTTTATTCCAGGTAAAGCTTAAAAATACTAAGCAGGGTCTCCATTCACATTGTGTTCTGTATTAAAATCTTGGCAGGCCATTTCCTCTTGATAGAATCCTCACCACCACCATACGCACACAAAGTCTGGTCAGGAAATTCAGACTTCCAAGAACACTGACTGCCTACTTTAAGAGGCAACTCCTCTCTGCAGCTGATGTTTCCCGCCCCCTCCAGTGTTTTGGCATTTGTGTTCCAGTTTCAACTGTTATGTTTAAACGTAAGTCAGAATGTTAGCAAGTTGCATTATTCTCTGCTTCTGTCACAATATCTCAGCTATATTATT